AAAATAATATAAAATATATTCTTTGACTCCAACAACTATATGTGCATAACACACTGTACTGACAGCACACAGAAGAGATAGGCTCAGTACTTTTAGTTGAAGGATGAGCTATATAAAGAATGGTAAGTTCCATTTACAGAACTGAGGACCAAAGCTTTGCAAGGGTTTTCTCATGTTCCTGATCTCTCAATGATCACACTGTCAAGTACCAAACAGAAGAGTTCACAGTTTATGTTCCCCCAAACCTATCCATGGTCCTCTGATACTGTCCTGTCTTTAGGAGAGAAATCTAAACCCATAAGTAAGTATAGTCCTCAGGCATATTTTTCAAGTATTCATTGTTCAATATCATTGCAGTAATCACTTCTTACTTATCATTAGTTATCTAATGCAGATATCACCTGATTCTCAAAGGACTGTTGAAACACTGCCAAGCAGTTACAGTTACAAACCAAACAGTTTGCCATTGTTACAGTGTGATCTCTAGAGTCATCATGAAGCATTTTAACAGACCAAAGGCAAAAGTTATAAGTGTAGCTTAGTGGTAGAGTACATGCTCAGTATATGTAAAAGCCCTAGATTTAGTCTCAAACACACAGAGAGAGAGAGAGAGAGAGAGAGAGAGAGAGAGAGAGAGAGAGAGTCACGAATTTATGTTGTATTTTTAGTTGATTCAGTGTGAGCAGGAGATCCCGAAGAAAGGAAATTCTGTTATCTGTTTCCAGGCCTTCCTTATTATTCAGGATTTATGCATTAAGTTCCTTGTTAGAATAAGTGGCTTAAGGAAGCAGCAAAGTTCCTTTCTGATCCAAAAGTTGGCGCTGTTTGTTTCTTCCCTCCAGTAGTGACATTTCCGTCCTCCTTTTCTTAGACACACAAAGGTTGACTAGACTTTCTCACAATGGATTGCATACACATTTCCTTTAACAGCTTTCTGACAAGCAAGATTCAGTTGTTTACTGTTAAAACATGTGGTAGTTAATGTCAAGTTTTTAAAAGACACCCCCCATTAATGAATTTCTTTGCTTTCACCCCTTGTGTGTGTGTGTGTGTGTGTGTGTGTGTGTGTGTGTGTAGATGGAGCTAAACATCACATAAAGATTTTATTGAAGATATAAAATATAAAGGTTGTGTTGTCTTTCAGATGCCATTTTATTGGACTATCATTCCTTAAATATGCATTAAATTAAAATTTATGGCCAGTTGTGGTGGTGCATGCCTTTAATCCCAGCACTCAGAAGGAAGAGATCGGCGGATCTCTATGACAACAAGGCCAGTCTGGTCTACACAGTGAGTTGCAGGCTACCTGGGACTACAGGGAGACCCCGTCTCAAAAAAAGTTACTGTACACTTACCATTTTTCCAGTGCTGGGGATCCACCTATAGTCTCACATATGCGAGGCAACTGCTAGGTAGTGATCTAAATCAACAACCTTTGGTTTTTTTTAGATCAAGTCTCACTATGCAGCACAGACTGGCCCTGTACATGCTAGTAAGCCCAGACTCATCTGAAATTCACAGTCCACAAATCTCAACCTCTCAAGCACTGTGACTACATTCCCATACTACCATGCCTAACAATAATTATCCATTAACATTTATTACTACCAAAAGAATGAAAATTTTGTCATGGAAGGGAATATGCTCACTATTTTTAACTTTAGAATATCCATAGAGTATGCTAAATATATACTTGTTAATAATTATAGAGCCAACAGTCTATTTATTTAAAAGTAATATATCAAGGAAATACTATGGCACGTATACTAAGTAGAGCTATGTATTAGGTAGTATGTTGACTATTATGTGCGAAACTGAAAAATGGAATAAGCAAATGCCTGGGATATGGTCAAGTTTACCTTTGCCTCCCTGCTGCGCCTTCAGTTTATATATTATGGTGATGATCATCCCTGGACCCTGAAACTCACAACATGATATCCATTGTGTCCCAGAAAATGTCTTCTCAGATTATTCTTTCCCTCTTCATCCCATTGGGTCCTATAACCTATAAAGCACTGTTTTTCACCTTCTCTATATTTTAGGCATAGGTGATTGTCTCATAGTCCCAAGTCCTGGCTACTTTAGATAGTTTTAAGTTTGGATATGAGATGCTCCCCCTTCCCCTCTACAAACGTTCATGTTTATGTTTGTTTCTTGAGTCAGGGTCTCTCTGTGTAGCCCCCGTTGGCCTCTTAATTTGTGGTAGTTTTCCGACCTCAGCTTTCTGAGCAGTGCTGGCACTGTAAGCACCATGTCCAGCTAGAACTCATGTGTTTAGAGCCTAAATGCAATAGTGCTCAGACATGGGGTTTGGGGAACAGGCAGATCATGAAGGGTTTGCCTTTACCAACTAACCACTGAAAGATTTCCAATTATTACTTGGAAGTGGTAGAAATTATTACAAGAAGTGTGGCCAAGTTGGAGGAAGTAGGTTACCAGGGGTATGCCATGGAAAATGCACCTTGTTCCTGGTACCTTTCTGTCTCTCTGCTTCCTGGTCACCTTGGAGTGAGCAGCCTCTGCCACATGCTTCCTGGGCCATAATGTTCTGTCCACTACAGACTCAGAAACAACTAAGTCAGCCAACCATGGACTTTAATCTCTGAAACTGAGACTCCAAATAAATCTCTTCTCCTATTAAATTGCTTCTCTAAGACATTTGTAACTGGAACAAAAAATTGACACAGATGTTTGTGGGGTTGACACCACCATAATCAAAGACAAGACAGGAAGCAAAATCAAGACAGGAAGAATGATAATTTAACATCTGTTTTTGATACATATGCATCATCTTTCATTCAACAACCTTACAAGTTAAGATAGTCCTGTTTCCCTTATATCAATCTGAAAATGGAGACACATGAAGGTTAAGTAACTTGTGCAGTGTCAAAGGGGGCTACAGACTATTACAGTTCCCAAGACTACCTTTATTAGAAAATTGTGGGATGTGTTAGAAAGTTACTAAGAGATATTAAAAATGGTGGCATTTATATATAAGTTTCAGACAGGAAAATGTTTACATTGCACTATTAAAATGCATGCTTCTTATATTGTAGTTCATACTTTCTTACTTTATTTCATCAACCTTAACTTAAGATTAATCAAAATATCAAACTAGGGCCTTGATGAGGGACAGTCAAGAAATTTACTTGAAAATGAGATTAGGCATAAATTAAGATACATGTATTTGTGATGTCTCTATGTTCCCAAATGAAGAGTTTTCATTCTAGTTTGGGGTTATTCTGTCCCAAGAGGCCAAAGCACGCAAAGGTAATGAACTGCTAACATTACACCATCCATCCTTCTGTACATCCAGTTACCCACGCTTCTATTCAAGTTTTCTTTGATGATCTATTACTATTATAAATAGTCTGGATGATGCACTCATCTGATTCCACGCCCATTTTGATGTGTAACACAAATGGAATACAATTTGATGTAGATTATTTTCTTTAAGGAAAATATGCTAACCTGTCCTCCCCTCAATATTTATGAGCAGATTAATTAAACACATGCATTTGCATATTTAAAACACCTACTTCAGGTAAAAATCAAAAGCAGTTAATAATATAGTCTATTCATTGAATATAATATAATGAGTATAGTCTATTCATTGACTGAAATAGCCTATAGACAGTATGCAACTTACAAAGAGAAGTCCCCTGAATATAATCTAAAAGAGTCAATCTGGTCTTACATACATATAAATTCCAAAGAAAACTATTTCAAGTTGATTTACAGTAACACTAATGATAGAATGAGCTTTCTTAATTATTCTTCTATAAAGCATGACACTGTGTGGGCATTATGAGATGCCAGGAATGGAGAGGACTCGGGTATATGCAGGTTGGAGATAGAAGATGAAAAAGTAAACTGATTTTTAAATAGTCTATTATATTTAGTACATAATATAAAACTTACCATTTATAAATTAAGCAACCAAAATGAACAGTCCCACTGAAATACAAATTCACTCATAAACACAGAGAGATCACAACATTGCTACACAGAAGGTCGTCACCACCTCCAAAGTTGGAATTGTGGTCAGCTTTATCTGAGCAGACAGCAGTAAATGGAGAATAGTCTTCAAAGGAAGCATGCAATTTTAACACTAAATTGAAGTGTTTTCTAGACCAGCATTTTTTAATGGATTTTTTAAGCACTTGAAATGTGGCTGGTGAGATTAAGGAACTGAACTGTTAAGTTTATTTAAGTAATTAAGTTTAAATAACTAAACATGGCTATAGGATTGCACAGTACAGATGTAGAAAGAAAAACCGGCCAATTTCTTTGGAGTCAACTTCATTCTTTAACATTACTATGCAACACACAGTATCTAAGACCTTGAATGATATAATTGCAATTTATTCACAAATTGTAGGAGTAATCTGAAATTTGAAAAAAAAATGCTACCTTTAGGAGTGGACTTCACAACTGAAGGTTTGAGGGGGGATACATACTTGTTTATAGAGCACACTTCTGTTTTCTAGAAAATGAGTTATTTCCCCCATAAAAAAAGTCAACGTCAAAATAGCTTCAAAATATAAGACTACAAGCTGAATTTCGTGAATGACAGGAACCAAACTCATTAAAAGCCTCTTAAAAACTAGAGCTGGTAGTTAGTCTTTAAAATGGCACAAAAAAAGTAAAATTTTCTGTAGGAGTCTACATCACTACCTAAGAACATTCCAAGTCTCCCCTTGAACCATGGAACATAAGCACCTCTCACCTGAGTCTTTGACCTTGGAACAGGTACACTTCTAACCCTGGCACACGCGAGACTCTAAGCCCAAACTGCAGACACTTCTACCACCAGTGGGCATGAATTTGATCCTGGACCACACGCGCCTCTAAGCGCAGCTCACACACGTGTCAAAGCTCGGGATGCCGGACGCATCTTGTCCTACACCCGGGACCTCCAAGCCCAGCGTCTCCGCGCGGGGCATCCTGGCGTATCTCCATCTCCAAGCACCGCCCCGGTCTGCAGCCGGGCCCCTCACCTTTCTCGCTCACGCTCTCGCTCTCCAGCTCCACATCCTCACAGCTGGTGTACTCCGGCGTGGACACGCCCTCCTCCTCCGAGCTGCTCACCGACATCTGCCTCCTCTTGCCTCCCCGCTTGGGCCGGTGCGGCTTGGGCGGGGACGGCCGCACGGACTCGGACTGGTCCGAGCTCAGCGAGTCGTTCCGCAGCATGCTCTCCGCCTTCTCGCGCTTGGCCTTGCGCATGAGCACGGCCGAGCCGGGATCCAGGCGACTCTGCTTCCTGAGCGGCTCCGGGGCGCGCGGCTCCGACGGCTCGGTGGGGCCCGGCCCATGCCGCGGCGCGGGCGGGCTGTGCTCGGCTGGAGGCTTGGCTCCGGCCCGGGCGTCCGTCCTGTCGACCGCGTGCGCGCGCGGGGACTCGGGCGGGGAGGCCCTGGCGGCCGGAGCGCGCTTGCCCGCCTTGGGCTCGGCCGGCGCAGCGGCAGCTTCGGTGTGCGGGAGCGCCACGTCGCTGTGGCGCCGCTCGTGCCTGGCGCGGGACACTCGGGCGTGCATGCGCATCTGCTGCTCCTCGGGAGGCGGCTTCACAGGGTAGCGCGCCAGGTTCGGGTCGCTGCGGTACCTGGTTTGGTACTCCTCCTCTTTCCTCTGCTTCTCGCCCTCCGCCGCCTTGACATCCTCCCTTTTCTCCGGCCGGTCGGGGTAGTCCTGGGAGCGCCCTTTCTCCAGCCTGCGGCTTTCCCGCCTTTCCTTCCGCTCCCGCTCTTCCGCGGCGCCCTCCCCAGGCTGCACCGAGGACTTGGGCACACGTTTCCGTTCGCTCTTCAGGCCTGCCTTGCCATTCTGCTCTGAAAGCCCTGGACCCTTCTTCCTGTGATGAGCGAAGGAGCATCAGAGAGCAGTTGATAACATTTAAACACCACTTGAAGAACATTTTTGTCTTACATGTAAGCCCTAAATTATTTCCTATAGTTATAATTCCGTGTCTAATTAAAAACTGAGGCAGGAAACTTCGTGGAACCCGTGTAACACATTTGCTTTTTAAGTTTTTGGCCCTTTGCATTACTTGTTATCTCTTTTACATTTTTGAATTTAAATAAAATAGTCATTAGCATTAATTAAATAGGCATATTTTATGCTTCTCTGTGCTTGTGATTTAAAGACAAATGTTTTAGATTAAAAGTGATAGATTAATAAGGTAGGAGATATGTATCATTTCAAACCAAATATGCAGCCTGACATGCTGACACACACCTTTAGTCCCAGGACTCAGGAGTCAGAGGCAGGGGACTCTGGTCTACATAGTGACTTCCATGTCAGCTGAGGCTACAGGGAGACTTTATCTCAAAAAAACAAAATTAAACCAAATATACACTAACGTGTGTATATGTGGACACTATGTTATTATCGCTGGAACTTTTGTAAGGACAAATATGTTCATTTCCAAAATCGAATCTCATACTACTTTGATAATGTAGCAAATTAATTTTGACTTGATTGTGGAGAGCCAAACATTTCAGCTGAACCATAGTTTACATTTTAAGTTTCTCAGGTAACATTGATACAACTACTGGTATTTATTGTTTCATTAATTCTTTTTTCATAGTACAGGAATCAAGCTCAAGGCCTTCTGCAGCTACAAACACTCTACACCATGGAGCAATATCCTCAGCTCAGATACACCTCCCTCCTTCATGACACTTTACTTCAAAACAGGATCCAAAAGAAATTAGGTTTGAGTTCTACCTTTCTCTCTATGTTTTGCACAGGTGAAGATAAAAGCAAAGGAAAAGGGTTTGGGAAATCTGAGTCCTGTAAATATATAATTCCCTTGCACTGAAAAGCACCTCACCTTGGAGTTCCTTTAGTTGTGCCAAAAGTTGCGAAGTATATGTGCCTTAGCTAAGCCTTCTGGACTTACTCTGCTGTGCAGTTTAAATGCAGGCAACCCCATGTTTGCTTTGGAATTCTTAGGACTATGGGGAATCCTTCAGAGGCAACCTAAGTCCAAATATAGATGCTATGAATTTTACATATGTGTGTGCTTGTGCGTGTGTGCGCATGCATATGTATATAAAATATGTTTTGGGAAATTTGGGCAGTTTCTGTTGTGGATTAGCAAAGAGGGGTGGTAAAACAGGTTATGGTTCATGAGCAGAGACTGTGGTTTGTGAGCAGGGACGGTAGGGGGTAGAAAGCGTATAGAGTTTTTAAGTAGCAGAGATGAGAAACATAGTCGGATCTCCTGAGGCTCTTTGGGGGATATGGACCTGATGATGGATATGAAAGTGTCGGGTTGCAATTCTACAATAGAAGAGGGTCCAATATCATTAATAGCTATTAAATACAGTTTTCAAAGTTGTAATGGTTATATTACATACAAACATTTTGTTTTTTCTTTAAGGCTTACTTGATAGAAGTTTCTATTGAGTCAGTTTACTTTTCTTGAGATGCTGATGATGCGTGCTTACCTTACATAAGAAACCCCATCTGTGAAGAGGCTTCACAGAAAGGCCAAGTGCTCTGCAGATGAGAGGATCCCTCCAATCTCTTTTCTTCACTAATACTTTTCTCACCACTAACTTTGTTTAGTTGCCACTAGCTCCCGATCAGTATAAAAAATATGATGAAGAGACCATCAGCAATTGAAAACAAATCACTATTCTTTTGATCCTGTTTCTCCAAGGTTGCCCAATTGCAAACTGCCACCCGCCTCACTTCCCTGGCTTCATCTATTTATATCATCAGTTAATACATTTGCTCCTATCAATATTTACATTATGTCAAAATCATCAAAATGCCTCAGTATTCATTACTGACATTTTATGTAGTTTCCATCATGTGCCAAAAACATTATTTTCTCTTTAGCAACTCTGTACCTTCAACATTTTCATTCTCTTCATCGATGTTATTCTCTGACCAGTCCGCACCTTTGAAATGTTTGTTTCTTTCCTACATCAGTTTGCCATCAACTGAGCATAATTCTGTCATCACTAATGTCCCTCTGGTGCCCTTTCTATCTTCTCTCCAGAGAATTTGTGTATGCTCATTCTCCCCTTTTCTACTCTGGTCTATTTCCCCCTGAAACTTCTGGAAATCTTATGAAGCTTAATTCTGAAGCCACTTCTTTTGTCCCCAGAACTCTCAAATTACTCTTTGTATTTTCTAGCTTTGATCAAATCAGCATCCTTCATAAATGTCTAGCTGTCTCCCTTCCTGCAGATATTGTATATCTCTCTCCCGGAGTGTGAGGAAAGGGACCATGTCCTAATCATCTTTGCACCCCCTGGTTCCAGACACTGAATTTGCTTATAGTGAATGATTCATGAGTACTTGTGGGATAAATAAGACAAGCAGTGAAACCTCCTCCAGGTCTCACCTGTCAGGGCACCTACAACATAGGCCTCATGAACACAGGAGTTACATCATCCCTGATACATCTATTTCCTATTGGATATCATCATCTCTGGCCATAAATACAGTTTTGAATGAATGGATGAATGAATAACTAAATATCTGATGTTCCAGCATGCCTGTCAATTGGTCAAGTTTCCCATAATATTCTTTCAGGGAATACTTGTCATTGAAGTACTAATTATGTAAATGAACAGTGTTTCTAAGAGCTTTGGTTGGTTCAAGAATTGAATTTTGTAACTCAGTTGAGTGACTTAACTTACATAGACATGTATGCATGATATGAAAGAAAAGCATTTCAACACAGGTCTCTTATGAAGTGCCTCACCCTAAAGACAGACGAAGCACCTCAGGTCTGGTGTTGTTTTGTGTACAAGGCCTAAGAAGTTCGACTTCCTAAACACCTCCTAATAGATTAAACTTGAAAACATGTTTAGCTTCCAGCAAGCTCTCAACTTTTGCTTACAGGGTTAATGATTATTACCTCTCTCTTGGTGGCTCACTTCTAGACCTAGATGAGGCCTGCTTCTGTTCGGGCCCCAAGGCTTGCTGTGAGGGCTCAGCCCCTTTGCTCCTGTCCAGTGGTGCACTGGGAGAAGCAGTATCCTGGGAAGAGTTAGCTGCTGTGCTCAGGGGTGTCTGAGATCTTGATCGCTCTTGGAGTCGTGCTTTCTTTTCTCTTGGTACCTCAGAACCAGCACCTGTAGCTGTGTCACTCAGAGTTCCATCCTGACTGGGCTGTTGAGGGCCACTTCCAAAGAACCATGCTCCAGATTTGGTTAAGATTTCTTGTTGCTTTCGACATAAATTGCATACCCACATAACCTATTTGAAGAAGAAAGAGAAATAATTTTCTCCACTATTTAGAAATATTTTATCTTCAATGCATTTAAATTCATTAGGAGGAAAAAAGACCTTCATATGTATCCTTAAAAATGCCTTATGAAAAAAAAATGTTACACACAATTCATAATCAAAGAATAGAAATGTTTACACTGGAAACCATAAGGAAGCTCAGAACCTTTCCAGATAAGAATTTTTTTCACCATCTTTAATTTAATGAATCTGAGATTCCTTTTACCATGTGTCTGTCATATTTAGTATAATTGACTCTGAAGTTTCATTTCAAAATCTCTGTTAGTATAAGTACTCTAAGTGCAATAGGTAATTGATTCGAAAATTACTGAAAAGAGCTTTATAATCAATATTTCTGTGCACAAACTTGGAGGATTTTAAAGATGTTGGTCTTCTCAAAAGCCATTTATGATTAAAGTCAATCATAAATCTTATTCACATGGAATCAAAATAGGAACAAAAGGCATATACACATATATATATATATAGACTCTTTCTTAGCAATGAAGTAACCTAAAGCTTATGGTATAAGATAATTTTCATGCACATATTTACTAGAACAATGGATCTGAGGCTGGATTTATTCCTATGTGGCAACCAAATAGCATTTCTATTACTTACGACATTGAGGCCAATAATGTTAATAAAAATAATGAAGAATATTGACAGTGATTAGCAATCATAACAAAGATAGAGACCAGCATCCCCAGAAGACTTCTCTCCAAATGTATGACAATAAAAAAAAAATGAACAGCTCATTGCATAAACATCAAAATCATTAAAATAGATCATAACTTCAATTTAAAATGTAAGCCGAATGAGGTTATACATAGCATCCTGCAGTCTTATGTCTTTAACAGCATATATTCTCTCAGAAGTTTTGATTCTATAACCATATCGAGAATAACATTAAAAGAACACCCCAGGACCAGAACTTTCGCGGCCCTGGCTGATGCCCTCTGCCCACAACTTGGGATGGGAGCAAGGGCCTACGCCTCCTCTTTAGTTCTTTTGTCTTCTCTTGAGATGACAAGAAAATGGTAAGTTCTGAAATCATGTCACTCAGAGGACTGGTATGAAATGTCTCCCACTTTCCACCAAATAAGTAAATAATTATTTATCATAATCATAATAATTTATCACCATTCATCTAAAATGGGACATTTTCTGTAAAATAAAACATCTCTGAAGTATATTTATGATAAACATGGGTATCTGTTAAAGACACAAAAAACAAACTGTAATTTACAATTATTTCCACGTTTTCAAATGGGGTTAAATTAAATTAAAAGGCAGAAAGGAATGTAAGAATGCTGACAGAAAGAGGAAGAAAGGCTAATTTCCTTTTTATATCTGAATGATTTCAATTATTACAATTTTTATTGTATTACTTTAAGTATTGGAAAATAGGTCAATACAAAACAATTGCAAAGGGCTGGAAACATGGCTCAATGGATATATGGCTCAAGTTCCCTTGCTGTTCTTGCAGAGGACCTGGGTTCGGTTTACAGCACCCACATGTTAGCTCACACCTCCATGCCCTGTTCTGGACTCAGTGAACACTAGACACACGTGTGATGCACAAACACATGTGGTGGTTCAAATGTGTTCTCCATGAGCTCCAAGAATTTGAACACTTGGCCAGCTGGAGGAGCTGTTTCAGGAAACTCAGGGAACCTTCAGGAGGTGTGGAATGCTCAAGGAAGCACATCACTAGGGACAGGTTTTATGAGTTCACAGCTCTGTCCCATTTCCGATCTCTCTCTCTCTCTCTCTCTCTCTCTCTCTCTCTCTCTCTCTGCTTCCTGCTTCCGTTCGAAGACTTGGGTGGTCAAACTCTGCTCCAGCTGCCTCTTGCCATGCATGCCTTCCCCACCAGGAGCCATGTGGGACTTTTCTTCCTTTGAGACTCTAAGCTCAATAAACGCTCCTGTAATTTGCCTTGGTCATGGTTATTTATCAAGGTAACAATAAAACACACATATACATAAAATAAAAATAAAAAAATTCAAAACCAACTGACAGATTTTGGCAAGTTTCAGATTTTGAATATGTGCAAAACAAAGCAGACAACAGATTTTAAAGTAAGTTTTATGAATCATTTATTTTCAATCTTAAATCATTGCAATTGCTGGATAAATACTTTAAATACTAGTTTTAAAATACTTTTTAATCATTTAAGTTTATATTTCATTTATCTATTTTTAACATTTAAGAAAAATGTTCTTTATTCCAGATTTCTCCTATGTCTTAGTTCCTTCTACACCACAGCATCCTAAAATCCTTGTTTTAGAATTAACTATGTAGGATGAGCCTATCTTCCAATGCAAAAACAAATTTAACTGAAAACAAAATCAACTATAAAAATGTTGAAATACTTATTTTGATCAAAATAATAGCTCTTGATCTCTGTTTTCTGTTATATAAATTATTCAGAACATGAAGTTTGATAATCTAAATTTTATTTATGCAGGAAGTACAGAGAAAAAATGAGATTACGGAAGAATGCCTTTAAATATAGTTCATACCAAATATGGCAGACATGTACAGAAATTATTCAAATTTTAGGACAAAACACAATTTTGCACATTTAAGATTTTGGATTTGAATTGCTATTACGTATTATATTTGTCATGTGATCTAAATAGTCAAAAATAGGGTACAGAGACATCAGTACCCAATTTCTGTTTTAAAAAAGAAAAGGCATGGCTATGTCAAACCAAAAAATTCAAAACACAAATGGACACACCTTTTTGAGACTGCACCATCCAGAAATATATCCTCATTAAAGGTTTTGGGATGTGTTACAAGCAAATCTGAACTCTGGAGTGCCTGTGTAATAACTTAACATTTTATAGATGTTAAACAGTCATGTACAAAGCAGGAACGAAAGGTCTTTGTGATGTCATATGACATCTGAAACGCCATGGCACACATCAGGGCAATGAAAACCTACAGAAAATTTTATATTGATCTTTAGCTCTAACAGCATGTTAAATTTTTATTCATTTTAATTAATTCTCTGAGAACTTCAGACAATGCATTTTTATGCTATTCTACCCTTCTGCCAATCCCTCCCACCCAACTTTGTGTCCTCATTTAAAAAATATTTTATTTATTATTTTTATTTTATTTGTATGAGTGTATTGCTTGCATATGTGTAAGTGTACCCATGTCATGCAATGCCCATGGGGTTCAGAAGAGGGTGTCAAAGCCTCTGAAAATGGAGTTAGGGACAGTTGTTAGCCACCACATGGGTGCTGGGAATCAAATCCATGTCCTCTGCAAGAACAACCAGTGCTCTTAACCTCTGAGTAATCTCTCCAGTCCTGAGTACTCATTTCTTTTAAAACCATGAATTCCAGTTAGTGCTCCCCACATACTGTTGGGTGCTGGTCATCCACTGAGTTTGGACTTACCAGAGCTATAACCATAAAGAAAATTGACTCCCAGCAGCTATCAGTTGCCAATAGCTCATCACCAGGGGGTGGGACTTTGTGCCTAACCACCCCCATCCTGGAATTTTGTCTGGTTTGATATTCCGTGAGTCTTGTGCTTGTTAACAGCATGCTAAAATTTGTCTTTCACACATAGTGAATGATCATGATTTTCTAAAAGTTAAACTTACCTGGAGTAATGAAAGCTAGAACACTTCTTACTGCATATATAAGATAATTCCATAGATAAAATTATGAGTTTAGCAGAAATGAAAACGTTTAGATGTAAGATATTGTTTACTCTTTCTTGCTGCTACCAGGAAGTATGTACGGGCTTTTGTGCAAACGTTTTCTGGGGAGAGGAACAAATATCTGTTCGCTTGACATGGGTACCAATGACAAACCAAAGAGAGGAGTCCACTCAAATCCAGCTTGACAAAAAAAGTTTAACTGGGGTTACTTACAGAAGCATTGGCACCACAAGGGCAGCTATACCACTGAAGAAAATACCTTCTTTGCCCAGTAACTATTAACTGCCTATAATCCTTGCAGATGTGCATGGACTTGGAACCACTCCCTGCTCACTGTCCATTTATGGTCTGTCAGTCTTAAGAGAGGGGCAGGTCCTCATGAGTCCCTCCCTCCTCCATGACAGAAAGATAAAGAGTCCAATCTTGTGCAGGTCTGTGATTTGACCATTCAAAAGGGCAAGAGCCATGTCGCACCTAAAGGTTTGCTTTCAACAACACTCACATTTACTCGTTGCTATTACTCAGATCATTCGTCATAGCGAAGTCGAGAAATATTCTATTAATATAAGTATCTTGCTTATAAAAACCTCTGTGATATTTCGTGTAATCAAAACTGTAAACAGATTTTTTTTAAAAGACAAATGATATTGTGATTAAATTTTCATTCTGTATTTTTAGATATAACTTTTAAGATTTATTGTAATGTAACAGAGTACTTAAAAATATCTCTCTTCTGGGGCTGGAGAGATGACTCTTGTGGAGGACTCAGGTTCGATTTCCAGCACTCGTGTGGCAGCCAACAGCCGTCCATAAGTTCAGTTCCAGTAGATCTAACAGCCTCTACTGATCTCTGCAGGCATTGCATGAGACTGATGCACTTACACACATGCAAGCAATACACTCATACACATAATTTTTTTTTAAAAAATCACTCTTCTTGTTTTTCATGCTGCCTAACAGAAGGCCACAACTGGCCAAAGTGTAAAAAATAAGAGATTTGCACTGAGAGATGTCTGGGGACACTAACTTGACAGCCATTAACATACGACAGAATGCATGAAATCCAGTTGGAAGGGGGACACTATGGGATGGTGCTAATGAGGAAGGGGGTAGCAAGATGATTTAGAATGCTGTGTACAAAATACACAAAAATTCAATAAAAAATATACAAAAAAAAGAATGAAAAGGGAATTTTAGGGCCTACTGGGTATGTAAAAGCAGAAAAGTCAATGTAGATTTCTTAAAACTCTAGGACTTAAATAATTTGATTTTTCCTAAATCT